CTGAAATTGGGGGGATCCTGCATCCAATAGCGCCATGCTATAAGGGAGTTCAGAATGAAGCCGCTCTGGAAGCCCAGCACCGGACGGACCGCACTGAGGGCTCCTGTAAGCATGAGCTAACAATGAGACTCAAGCCACTAGGCTGAGGACTACATCACAAAATTCTACCCATTAAAGGGGGTTAGGTGAATTTAAGCAGACAAAATCCATGCCTGCAAGGGAGGGACGTCCAAGTTATAAAACCTGGTGAAGGTGGACGGCGACGACCAGCCGGCGGCCACACAGATATCACCAATAGAAATCCCGCTGGACCAAGCCCAGGAGGAGGTCATTCCTCTGGTGGAGTGGGCCCTCACTCCTACAGGACATTGCAAGCCCGCTGAGTTGTAAGCCAGGGCTATAGCATCAACTATCCAGTGAGTCTCTGCTTCGTAACTGGCAGCCCTTTAGAGCGGCCTCCGAAGCATACAAAGAGCTGCTCTGAGTGCCAAAACAGGCCAGAGCGCTCAACATACACTCTAAGGGTGCTTTCACACTTGGTTTGATTGCCTGGTCCGAACCCGAGTTCGATTGCTCCCCCCTCCCCCTGCCCCTGCTGGACTGCGTTCATATTATTTTATTTGGGTCTGAACTGCGGTTCATTTGTGTCATCAAGCCGCAAGAAGGCGCAGAAGGCGGCGGCAAAATGCATAACATTGCTCTCTGCACTTTGTCATATTTACGTTTTTGAACCATTCGTTTTGTTTACAAAGGTTCAGTGCATAACGGCATTTACTGTACGTCTGTCTTACGAATGTACTGCAAATAAAGAACGCTGAAGGCGAACAGAAATGAGAAATACAGCTTTCTGCTTGCAGTGCGTCAGTCACGCTCATTAGGAAAGTGTTTACTCACTTTCCTGACGAGCAAGTGTTTCACTACACAAACACACATTTTTATCAGATAATATGTCATTAACAGTGGTCCACTTCCACGATTTGGTATGATTGCGTTCACATCAGCAGCAAACCGTACTGGAGTTCACATGAGCCGTACCACAGACCACCCTTTTTAAAACCCTCAAATGGTCCTCATTTCCTGTTTACACTTCTGGTCTTTGGGGTCAATATGACCCCAAAATTGATAGAGTTATTATAAAAAATATATATATAAATTTTTAATCATACAAATAATATATACATTTTTTTTGTTTACTTCTCATCTATACATTAAAGCTGTGTTTTGGGAGATATGAAGTACTTTTGTACCGATTTACCAAAAAATTCCTCAACTACACCATTAGCTTGCATGTGAAATATCACATTTTTAAAAAATCACTTAAATGATTATCTAAATTTGATTTAAGTTGTTTCTGGATATCTAGGTATATCTAGATAGCTGATCTAGGTGTTAGGTGTAGAATTCTGCCATCTGCTGGTTAGAGAAAAACTTGTAGAAATTAGAGTTTTTGAAAGAATAGTGTAATGAACATATACTGTATATCCAGAGGCCCATAGAGATCCATTCATTTTTCTGGAAGTGGCCAACTGATCCTCTGACAACTTTTCTGATATATATTTTGTAAATATGTATTGAAACATTATAAAATACATTAAAAACAGCATTTTTCTCAAAGGTTAGAATTTGTTTTTGTTGTTTGAGGTATTTTGAAGTGCCCGCTTTTGCAATAATGCCACATAAATTTGCAGAAATGCCACATAAATTGTGACTAAAACTTGATTGCATGCACATATTTTTTTTCAATCTAAAAAGTTAAATCAAAACAATTTTATTTTACTTAAATGTAAATAAAACCAACATCAAAAAAACAAAACATGGTGGGTGAAAAATGGTGGGTGTGTGTGTGTGTGAGAGAGTGTGTGTGTGTGTGTATGTACGTAAGTATGCTCGTTCCATATTGCATTTGTGCTCTAGTACCAGGCCTTAATTTCTGTGTGGAAATTTTCAGATTTATGCTGGATTTATTGATTTTTTTTTGACAAATTAAAAAAAAAAAGATTTTTTTCGCATTTCCCGTTCATTTTCAGTTGGGGTCATATTGGTCCAATTTTTACATAGCTTCAGAACAACCGAATCAAGCCCGTTTTTTTTTATGTGAATACAGATAGAAAATGTTGAAAAGTCAAATATCTTATTCCACTGAGATGAAGGGAACCATTTTTTTTAACTAAGTAAATGTTGATTGGGGTCATTTTGACCCCAGTGACCGATTGAGGGTTAAGCGGACTTGGGTACGGTTCGCGGGAGCACACCCGAGGTCGGAAGACACCCTAAGAGCCCGAACTGGGCAGAGTGGATTAGGACCCTGCTCACCCTCTTCATTGGAGAGCGCTAAAAGGGTGATGTCTTGTGCTCTGAACAGAGTGGAGAGCACTTTAGGCACATAGCTGTGTCTTGGCTTGAGGACAACTCTACAGTCGTTAGGCCAAAACTCAAGACATGAAGCAATGACCGACAGTGAGTGCAGGTTGCCCACTCGCTTGACTGGTGCTAAAGCCAAAAGGAGGGCAGTCTTAAGCGTCAGGGGCTGCAAATCGGCCGACTGGACCGGCTCTAAGAGAGGGCCCCATAGGGCCCGGAGGACTATAGATAGGTCCCACGTCAGCATCGTGTGAGGGCGATGCGGATTCAATCTCTGAGCTCCCCTCAGAAACTTAACCAGGTCGTTCCTGCCAATTGTCTGGCCAGCCACGAGAGAATGATTCGCCGTGATGTCTGCCACATAAACTTTGAGCATGGAAGGGGTGCGCCCCTTGTCCAGCAGCTCTTGTAGAAAGGTTAGCACGTAGGACACGTCACAATAGGATGGGTCCTCACTCTGTGCTGCACACTAGTCAGAGAAAACGGTCCATTTAAGGGTGTAGAGACCGGAGACAGGAAAATTAGAATAACAAAGTGAAAAGATATGTTCCATATTGCATTTGTGCTCTAGTACCAGGCCTTAATTTCTGTGTGGAAATTTTCAGATTTATGCTGGATTTATTGATTTTTTTTTGACAAATTAAAAAAAAAAAGATTTTTTCGCATTTCCCGTTCATTTTCAGTTGGGGTCATATTGGTCCAATTTTTACATAGCTTCAGAACAACCGAATCAAGCCCGTTTTTTTTTATGTGAATACAGATAGAAAATGTTGAAAAGTCAAATATCTTATTCCACTGAGATGAAGGGAACCATTTTTTTTAACTAAGTAAAAGTTGATTGGGGTCATTTTGACCCCAGTGACCGATTGAGGGTTAAGCGGACTCGGGTACGGTTCGCGGGAGCACACCCGAGGTCGGAAGACACCCTAAGAGCCCGAACTGGGCAGAGTGGATTAGGACCCTGCTCACCACCCTCTTCATTGGAGAGCGCTAAAAGGGTGATGTCTTGTGCTCTGAACAGAGTGGAGAGCACTTTAGGCACATAGCTGTGTCTTGGCTTGAGGACAACTCTACAGTCGTTAGGCCAAAACTCAAGACATGAAGCAATGACCGACAGTGAGTGCAGGTTGCCCACTCGCTTGACTGGTGCTAAAGCCAAAAGGAGGGCAGTCTTAAGCGTCAGGGGCTGCAAATCGGCCGACTGGACCGGCTCTAAGAGAGGGCCCCATAGGGCCCGGAGGACTATAGATAGGTCCCACGTCAGCATCGTGTGAGGGCGATGCGGATTCAATCTCTGAGCTCCCCTCAGAAACTTAACCAGGTCGTTCCTGCCAATTGTCTGGCCAGCCACGAGAGAATGATTCGCCGTGATGTCTGCCACATAAACTTTGAGCATGGAAGGGGTGCGCCCCTTGTCCAGCAGCTCTTGTAGAAAGGTTAGCACGTAGGACACGTCACAATAGGATGGGTCCTCACTCTGTGCTGCACACTAGTCAGAGAAAACGGTCCATTTAAGGGTGTAGAGACCGGAGACAGGAAAATTTGAATAACAAAGTGAAAAGATATGTTTTTCAGGTGGGCTTTGAAATCCTGTAATGAAGAGAGTTCCAGAGTGTGGGGGCAGCGATACATATGCTGTCAGAAACGATATGCACAACTTTTTCAACTCCTTAAAAACCATATACGGCCCAAATAGTTGTTCCATTACACCTTTGAAAGCAGCAGATGGACTTACAATTTTAAAAGATAAAAAACAGATCTTGGCAAGATGGGCTGAATATTTTGATTCCCTCCTTAATCATCAGTCACCAATTGATTATTCCATCTTGGAGGAGCTACCAAATCGGCAAACTATTCAAGACCTTGATCGCCATCCAACTTTCCTAGAGGTGTTGCCAGCTATTAACTCTCTTCAAAATAACAAGTCCCCTGGCAATGTTGGCATCCCTCCTGAACTCCTTAAACAAGGTGGCTACCTGTGTATCAGGATGATCCATCAATACATCCTACAGGTCTGGGAACTGGAGTGTGTCCCTCAACAATGGAGAGATGTCAATATTGTCACTCTATACAAAAACAAGGGTGAAAAGTCTATTTGCAGCAACAGTCGAGGTATATCACTACTGGCAGTAGCAGGGAAGGTCCTGGTAAAAATCATGTTATGTCGGCTGGTGGAGAACCTAACTGAACATCTGTTTCCATTTTCATAGTGAGACAGCTTCAAGAAAAAATGTTGCGAACCGCATCAGGACCTTTTCATGGCTTTTGTTGATCTCTCCAAAGTTTTTGATACAGTGAGCCGAGAGCTGCTCTGGGACATTCTAACAAAATTTGGTTGTCCAAGAAAATTCTGTAACATTTTGTCACAGTTCCATGAAGGAATGGTGGCTCTTGTGACCATAGGTGGTCAGTAGTCAGAGACTTTTAGAGTACGCACTGGAGTAAGGCAAGGATGTGTATTGGAACCTGTATTTTTTAACATCTACCTCCTATGTGTCACAAAGCTCCTGCATGATAAACTTGAAAGCAGCAGTGGAATTACTGTTGACTTCAGGTTGGTTGGAAACCTCTTTAATATTCAAAGGTTCCAGGCCTCTACCAAGGTCTCAACTATGCAGATCCCTGAGTTGCAGTATGCCGATGGCTGTGTGCTTTTCACACATACATACACATACACCAGAAGACCTGCAAACTATCCTTGTTGCTGCTGTGAGGATATATAGCAGATTGGGTTTGTCAGTCAATACTGCTAAACCTGAAGTTATATGTCAACATCTTTAAGAAAGTGCCAAATTAATCCCTCATGCCTGGAAGAATTAGCAGCAAATCGCACCACCTGGAGGCAGCTCTGTCACGCAGGAATAGTGCAACTGGAATCAGAGAGAAATATGAGGAAACAACAAAAAAAACTAAGGAGACACACAGTCCCTGTCCCTAAAAATTCTGACTTTATTTACCCAACCTGTAATAAAATTTGTGGATCAAGGATAGGGCTCTATAGTCATTAAAGGATACACCACAAATGAGGAGGATGGTCATCATCGGATAAGATGGACTACCAAGAGGATATTGAAGGGCGAGACCATGGAGAGACCATTTGAACATAATGAGGAGTATTTTGTATTGAATACGGAAATGAATAGGAAGCCAATGCAGTCTGCACAAAACAGGAGTAATGTGAGAAGATTTCTTGTTAAGTGTGAGGACCCTAGCTGCTGAGTTCTGAATATACTGAAGCTTATTTAAGGTTGTAGTGGCTAAGTCAAAGAATTACAGGGGGCTGCCAATAGTAGCTGAATAATCTCGGGGAAACAATTCTGGTTCCTCCAGAGTGAGGCAACCAGGAGGACCGAACATCTGACTTCCCTGCCCCGTCTGATGACCTGAGGAAGCAGGGCAATCAGGGAGAAGGCATACAGGTGAGCACTGGGCCAATCGTCTTCTGAGGTGAAGAGTTCCACCTCTGCCTTCCCAAAGACAGACCAGATACATTGAACCGTTTGGGGGTGTAGTCTCCATTCCCCTGGAGCTACATTGCCTTGGATTTCTTGTCTGCTCCCTGGTTTAACCTGCCCAGCACATCAACTGCTCTCAGTGAGAGGAGTTTATCCTGTGCTCATAAGAGGAGGCGTTGAGCCAATTAAAGGGAGCATGACCTAAAACCGCCTTGGTGATTTATGAAGGCCACCACCATCATGTTGTCCGAACGGACCAGGACGTGGTGCCCCTTTAAGGCCGGCAGGAAGGTTTTTAGGGCTAGAAAAACCGCCATCATCTCGAGGTGGTTGATGTGTAAGCGTTGCTCCAGGTTTTGCGTTAACACAACGGGAGAGACCATTCGAAAGGGAACCACTGATTTACATTATGCACATTAAATAAATCCCACACAAAATTGTCAAAAGTTGTTACCAAAATACTTTTCCTTTTAACATTTACTACACTTTAAATGGAAATAAATGGAAAAAACTGAAATGTTGCAGTTATCAGCATCCACATCATTTGTGACCCTGGACGACAAAACCAGTCATAAAGGTCAATTTTTTGAAATTGAGATTTATACATTATCTGAAAGCTGAATAAATAAAAAAATAATAATTTGGCCGAGATCTGGAAATCTGGAATCTGAGGGTGCAAAAAAAATCTATTGAGAAAATCACCTTTAAAGTTGTCCAAATGAAGTTCCTAGCAAAGCATATTACTAATCAAAAATTCTGTTTTTATATTTTTACAGTAGGAAATTTACAAAATATCTTCATGGAACATGATCTTTACTTAATATCCTAATGATTTTTGGCATAAAAGAATAATGTTTATCGCGCTGAAATCATGTGTTTTAAACCATATGAGTTTAAACTTCTGATATATGGTTTTCTGAGTGCACACATCCGAAGCACACGGACAGAAAGCTGCTGTCACAGCATGGGAGTACTAGATTAAGTTCTCATTCACACACAAGTTTACGTTAAAAACACACATGAGTTACAAAAACAGTCGGTTATGTCTGTGAATGTAAGCAGCTGGGAAATAAATTGCATGTTTATTTTAGAACTGTGTGGCAGCAGCAATATACAGTAAATAAATCAATAAATCCACTGCTCTCTTGTCTCCTCTGAGGCTGGGACTCTAAACAGTGTTCTGTGCTCGTCTGTGCAGCCAAAGACAGAACAGTTAGCATGTTTTGCTCAAACTTTCACCATGGCATTAGAGCTGGTACACCGTTGTCACTTGCAAAATCAAAATGATGGCGCCGTGGGTGGAAACTTACAGATTAAGGAGCGGTAATATTTTAATGAGATCCCTTTGTCACGTCACCAAGGGAGCAAAATCAGACGTGCTCATTATTTCAGATGCTTGCAGAGAAAGGCTTACCAAAACAAAGTTACTGGGTTAATCTTTTACACGGTAGATGCACCTTGGACCTGATTAAGTCAGATTTTCATGATGTCACCTTTAAGACTTTTTACTTAAGACACGTTTTGTGGTCCAGCGTCACATTTTATCTACATAAAAACTAACAAAGATGCATTTCTTATGTTTAAATTATTGAAACTCTTGAAAATTATTGATTTCAGTTCAGATAATGTTTTGTCTCCATCAGATTTCTTCCAGTTCACTCTGGATCCAAACACAGCACATCAACGTCTCTTTCTATCTCAGGAGAACAGAGTGGTGACCTACAATGACACAGTCCAGGAGTATCCTAATCATCCAGAGAGATTTAGTTATTGGTGGCAGGTGTTGTGTAGAGAGAGTGTGAGTGGACGCTGCTACTGGGAGGTGGAGTGGAGTGGGATTGGAACTGTTGATGTGTGTATATCAGTGTCATATAAGAGCATTAACAGGAAGGGATGGGGTTATAAGTGCAAATTTGGAAGTAATGATCAGTCCTGGAGTTTAATCTGCTCTCCTTCCAGTTACACATTCTGTCAAAATAACAAACAGACTGAACTCTCTGCAGTGTCAAGCTCCCGTAAAATAGGAGTGTATGTGGATCACAAAATCGGAATTCTGTCCTTCTACAGCGTCTCTGACACAATGACCCTCATCCACAGAGTCCAGACCACATTCACTCAGCCACTCTATCCTGGGTTTTGGATTAATTTATCATTTGCTAGTAGATTATTTGGATTAGCTAAATATCCAACAGTGAAACTGTGTGACAAAATATAGATTGTCCAGGGATACTGAATTGCCTAATAGTCAGTGGGATTTGGCAAGAATGCTGTTGCATAGTAACAATACACACTCGTTAATGTAACAGATTTGTTTATTTGAAGAAAAGATGAGCAAAGATCTTTAGATCTTCAGTTGGGCCTTACCATTTAGAGTGTACATGCATGTAAGATTACTGTCAATATTTCATGCTTATTACATTTCACATAAAGTTATTTTACATTAGTTTTGTTTCTTTAGTATATAGGCAAGGCAAATTTATTTATAGCACATTTCATACACAATGGTAATTCAAAGTGTTTTCCATAAAAGGAATTAAAATAATCATGAAAAAAAATCACAACAATAAAAGCAAGGAATTTTAAGATTATTTAAAAATTGAAATAATTAAAATGAATTTCATTAAGAATAAAAAATGAGGATAAATAAAGTACAGTGCAATCATTCGGACATAGCACAGTGCTCATTCAGTAAATGCACTGCTAAACAGATGTATTTTGAGTCTGGATTTAAATGTGGCTACGGTTTTAACACATCTGATCTCCTCTGGAAGTTTCCAACTGCGGGTCACATAATAACTAGAAACAGGCTCCCCTTGTTTTGAGTGACTCCTTGGTATTTCTGATTTGATCCTAATGATCTAAGTGGTCGGTTTATATTTAGTGAGCATATCTGCAATGTATTGAGGTCCTAGGGCCTAGGCCATTGACTGGTTTATAAATGAGTAATGATACTTTAAAATGTAACTGGAGGCCAGTGTAAGAACCTGAGGACTGGTGTGATATGCTCAGATTTCCTGGTTCTAGTCAGAATCCGGGCAGAAGCATTCTGGATGAGCTGCAGTTGTCTTTTTGGGAAGGCCAGTGAGGAGTCCATTACAATAGTCCACCCTGCCAGTGATAAAGACATGAACAATGTTTGGTGTTAAAGATACAGCCTTCATAAACAGCACACTAGTGTTCTCATTAATGCATCTCTTTCTGACAGAGACAGATCTAGATTCAGTGCAGAGATCAATATATTAAAGAAAATACAGAAGTGATCAGATAGTGCTACATTCTTAACAATGGGTGAAATGTTTAGACCCTTACTAATGAGTAAATCTAGAGTGGGTCCACGATTGTGTGTAGTTCCATGCACATGCTGAATCAGATCAAAAGTGTTTCAAACAGTTAGAATTTCTTTGGCAGTATTGATTTCTGCATTATCTGTGAATATTAACACCGGACTTATTTCCTGAAAAGGATTTTGGCACTATGTTGGGTTTATAACTTTTTTAATAACAGTCTGTGTGCATGTTTAAAATTCTGTTATACAAGTTATCTTGCTCCACATATGAATCCTGATCATTCTGCTTATATTGCTATTTACAGTAACATAATATAAAAATGCAAAAATGGAATACTGTATCCTACAATGCAGTGGGCTTATTTGACTGCCAAAAATAAATTAAGTTGATTTAAATTTATTTTACAATATTTGTGTTTTTTTTTCGAAGTATAAACAGCACAGTCTAGAAAACTACAGCAAATATAGTCTCTTAAAAGTCGTCATCAATTTCTATGTGGCTGACTATGTGTTGCAGTGCTTCACAAACCTGTTCTGAGGACACCTCAGCACGAACAAACATGCAGGAACAATGACCAACAAAACACAACTGAAACACAGGGATATATATATACACAAGCTAACCAGAGCTAACAAGGGACAGGTGGCGATGATTAGTTGTCGTGGTGATTAACAAGGTTAGCTATGGAGACAAGGTAGCAAGGCAGACCAAAGCCACTAGAAGGCAACCCTGCAAATTTAAGCCAAAAAAGCAAAAGCTATGGCTAAAGCTAACACTGCGGCGCAGGGAAAGAGACTTGGGGCCCGTTTCAATAAGGAGGTTCAACCAACTCTGAGTTAAAACTTGAACTCTGACTTGACTTACACTGAGATGGGAAACTCTGAGTTTTCGGTTTCAGAACAGCTGAATTGTATTAGTTCAGTCAACTCTGAGTAGGCTGACTCTGAGTTTAGCACGTGCACCACGACTATGAGAAGTCATGATCAATGGAGCTCCGAAATTATGATTCACCATGGCAACAGCACCGACAAAAAGACGTCAGCATACTTTGAGTCAACGCATATGTTTAATTCTTAATCACTGTTATAATAACAGAGGTGAAAACTGGCAGAACGGTAGGTTATTGAACTAATATTAATTTTCATGGTATCCCATGGGCACAAAAAAAAGAAAGAAAGAAAAGAGAAGAACATGACAGCAGCTAAAAATGAAGTATAAAAACAATTAAATCAGGTAAAACTTTAAGCATGAAATGTTCATGGGTGTAGGCTACATGACTTTACAAACATTTGATATATTAACTAAATTTAATTCAGTGTCGATTTCAATGTGCAGCAGCTTTTTTTCACATACTCTAATCTTTTCACTTAGTCTAATCTTTTCACATAATTAAGCATTCTCTAATCCAACCTGTTACATTTCTTAATTAGAGTAATGAAATTAACATTTGATTTCTACTCAGTCAACAGCAAGAAAGCAAAATAATGAAGAACAGATGAAGAGGAGATGGCCATAAAACCGAGTATTGGAAGAATACTAAAATCCAACAGTAAAAAAAGAATAACTCTTGCTTTTGTATTTGTAGGAAATAAATATGACCAAATAAATTGTGCATAATTTATGTTTATGTAACAGCTGTGGTGGTGGTTACAGCATATATCTCGGACTACACTTCCACATGGCATCCTTCCATCTGTTTCGTTTTTGGAAGGTGCGATGATGGGAATATGCGTGTCATCAATGCATCCAACCACACTGGAAATTCTAAAGGAAATTCTAACTATTGGGTTACTTCCAGAGGTCGCCGCAAGATGTTATCAAGTGAATGTCAGCGAGGCACACATCCGTTACCGCCCTGCATACAGCGGCCTTACTAATGTGCTCTGCATCCCCGATATAGAAAACTACCAAATAAATATGCATGTGGATATGGCACAAAAATGTAACTCCTTACTGTAGATGAGGAGGCTGTATTTGTATGAAAGGACATGCCATTTTTGTCACTTTGACGGTGTCTGGTGTTTGAAGGGGGAGGTGGGGGAAACTAAAAATAATCTTGTTTACGTTTGCATTAAGATGATTTTTCTTACCCCATGGCATTTAGCATGTTCTAAGTAAAATGCACTTGTTTCCCCCCAGGAAACAAGAATAAACTTAGGCTATATAATTTTTCTTTTATAGAAAATGCATCGTGATTTAAGAATTTTTTGATCTACACTTCCATATGGCATCCTTCCATCTGTTTCATTTTTGGAAGGTGCGATGATGGGAATATGCGTGTCATCAATGCATCCAACCACACTGGAAATTCTAAAGGAAATTCTAACTATTGGGTTACTTCCAGAGGTCGCCGCAAGATGTTATCAAGTGAATGTCAGCGAGGCACACATCCGTTACCGCCCTGCATACAGCGGCCTTACTAATGTGCTCTGCATCCCCGATATAGAAAACTACCAAATAAATATGCATGTGGATATGGCACAAAAAAATGTAACTCCCAATGAATTAATACAGCCTCCTCATCTACAGTATAAAAGGACATGCCATTTTTGTCACTTTGACGGTGTCTGGTGTTTGAAGGGGGAGGTGGGGGAAACTAAAAATAATCTTGTTTACGTTTGCATTAAGATGATTTTTCTTACCCCATGGCATTTAGCATGTTCTAAGTAAAATGCACTTGTTTCCCCCCAGGAAACAAGAATAAACTTAGGCTATATAATTTTTCTTTTATAGAAAATGCATCGTGATTTAAGAATTTTTTGATATTTGTGCTTGAAAAAATACTCTGTAAGAAAAGCATTTTTGCAGCATGAATGAATGAATTAGGTATTTAAACATCGCTTACGCTTTAAAAAGGGGGAGGAGACTGTAAGAAACTCTGGGTTTACCGAAAAAAACCTGCTCCTGACCAGGTTAGGTTCATAGAGTAAGTTACCACATTAACTCTCTTTCAGAAACGGGCTTGACTTACCCTGCTTTCTCGGGTTTGACAAACCTCCCATTCTGAAACGGAAAACCCAGAGTTTCCCTCATTTCAGGGTTAACATACTCAGAGTTTTCACTTAACCTCCTTTCTGAAACTGGCCCCAGATGCCGTTTTAAAATGCATCGTGATTTAAGAATTTTTTTATATTTGTGCTTGAAAAAATACTCTGTAAGAAAAGCATTTTTGCAGCATGAATGAATGAATTAGGTATTTAAACTGTAAGAAGACTGTAAGAAACTCTGGGTTTACCGAAGTAAACCTGCTCCTGACCAGGTTAGGTTCATAGAGTAAGTTACCACATTAACTCTCTTTCAGAAACGGGCTTGACTTACCCTGCTTTCTCGGGTTTGACAAACCTCCCATTCTGAAACGGAAAACCCAGAGTTTCCCTCATTTCAGGGTTAACATACTCAGAGTTTTCACTTAACCTCCTTTCTGAAACTGGCCCCAGATGCCGTTTTTTTTAATGGATGTCAATGGAGGAGAGGCATCACTACGCTGAATAAACAGCTTTTTAGAGGAAATGGCTTATCATTTAATGAATCGACAGCCTATCGGCTAATCTTCAACATGTTTTTACACTAAAAAATACTTTTGGATTGAACTGTTTTTAGAGTTTACAGAAAAAAAGAGTTTACAGAGTTTACAGTTTTTAGAGAAAAAAAAATCATTAAAATTTTTTTTTTACTGAAATTACATTTCAGTTTTTGAAGAAATACAGCACACATTTTAAATAAAATACATATACAGTAACATTTAAAATACTGTACTGATGAGCATAGCAGTTTCATTAAAATTTTATAAAATGTTGAATTAAATTCAACTTAGAACGGAAGAAATCTCCACTAAAACACTATTCTAAAACAATTTTTGTTATTCAGATGTAAATTTACTTTATCAGTGAATTCTTCATAAACAGTTCTTCAGAGCCCCAAAGATGAATTTGAAAAACTAAAAATGGCATTTCTCTCTTATTAGTTAGGGTTACTCTTTATGAAAAGGTCATGATTTTACATTTGAAATGGGTGGAGAAAGAAACAAATTGTGCTGTTTGCTGATAGCTTTGTATCTTGTATTTTCCAACAGGGTTAACATACTCAGAGTTTTCACTTAACCTCCTTTCTGAAACTGGCCCCAGATGCCGTTTTTTTTAATGGATGTCAATGGAGGAGAGGCATCACTACGCTGAATAAACAGCTTTTTAGAGGAAATGGCTTATCATTTAATGAATCGACAGCCTATCGGCTAATCTTCAACATGTTTTTACACTAAAAAATACTTTTGGATTGAACTGTTTTTAGAGTTTACACAGAGAAAAAAAATCATTAAAATTTTTTTTTTACTGAAATTACATTTCAGTTTTTGAAGAAATACAGCACACATTTTAAATAAAATACATATACAGTAACATTTAAAATACTGTACTGATGAGCATAGCAGTTTCATTAAAATTTTATAAAATGTTGAATTAAATTCAACTTAAAACGGAAGAAATCTCCACTAAAACACTATTCTAAAACAATTTTTGTTATTCAGATGTAAATTTACTTTATCAGTGAATTCTTCATAAACAGTTCTTCAGAGCCCCAAAGATGAATTTGAAAAACTAAAAATGGCATTTCTCTCTTATTAGTTAGGGTTACTCTTTATGAAAAGGTCATGATTTTACATTTGAAATGGGTGGAGAAAGAAACAAATTGTGCTGTTTGCTGATAGCTTTGTATCTTGTATTTTCCAAATCAGTTTTATTATATTGTAATACACAATATTCTACGGACTCCTATGGGCTCCATATAGCTCTGATAATATATGCAGGCAAACATTACATTGTATTTAAATTCTGAATCCTATCCCCCTTTTTCCTACACCCCATTATGCTTTGCACAAATTATGGGAGTAACTTCCGTGTACACTGTAAACAATCAGCAAAAGGTTCGCTCTATGAACGCAATAATGAGTATTTTCAAAAACTGGGTACAATGAGGTGACATTATTTTACTCACCTTCAACCATCGATCATTAAAAGGAAATTTAAAAGTGTAAAAGTATTAACAAATTACTTTCAACATACCATGAATAAAGCAAGATAATACAACGACCTGTGTCAATATATCAAGAAAAATGGTCCTCATGACATGACCTCTCTACACTATAACTGATTACTGCCACCTACAGCCAACTCTGCCCTGTTCATTTGAAATATCTACAGAATTCCCACTGATGTTGATCACAAATATTGAGGTATATATCATTTGTCAAACAAGTCCATTGGTCACATTTTTCTGCAACATTTCCTCTTCTTTGAAAACAACTGGTCTACAATGAAAGAAGTCAACATAAAATGCATGGACAATTGGAGGTGTTTGTGTGTTGAAGTTCAATATCATGCTCACTACATCTGTATTTCTTTAGGAGACGGCTATGTAGTGGTCCTTTGTAGTATGAATGATAGGGCAAGTTTAATGCACTTCATGGACAGACTCGTTTTGATCACATCTCTCAAACACAGAATCAGGAAATTACATCAACTCTCCACTTCGAGGAAACGAAACTTCAGTGCCACTTAGCTGTACTGTGTCTCTGTGCATGTAGTGAAATGGCTGAAGCCAGATTTTCTCATGACCAGTTCAGCTGTTCAGTGTGTCTGGATTTGCTGAATGATCCAGTGACTATTCCCTGTGGACACAGTTACTGTAAGAGCTGCATTAAACACTGCTGGGATCAAGAGGATCAGAAGAGAGTCTACAGCTGCCCTGAATGCAGACAGACCTTCAGACCAAGACCTGCTTTAAAGAAAAGCACCATGCTGGCTGAAGTGGTGGAGCAACTGAAGAACACTGAACACAAACCTGCTGTTCTTGCTGGACCTGGAGATGTGAAGTGTGACGTCTGCATTGGAAGAAAGCACAAAGCTGTCAAGTCCTGTCTGGTGTGTCTGAACTCTTTCTGTCAAAATCACCTTGAACAACATGAGAAACTCTTCAAAGGTAACAGACATGATCTAATGGACGCCACTGGATACCTTAAGAAGATGATCTGCAGTAAACATAAAAAACTGCTGGACATTTTCTGCCGCTCTGACCAGAGTTGTATATGCATGCTCTGCATGGTGGATGAACACAAAAATCATGATACTGTATCAACTGCAGCAGAGAGGACAGAGAAACAGGTACAGACTGAAAGACACTGGTGTGCTTAATTTAAGCAATTTTGTTAAAACTATTAAAATCATTAAACAGCTGTAATTTTGTACTGAGCTAGAGTGACAGTGAAAAAAAATCCAATAATCGCAACAAGCTAATAGATAATAATTAAAAGACATCTTGAGCTCAAATGGTGCTGTTCGTAATGATTAAAGGGCAATGAAACCCTATGTTACAGCAACGGTGAACACACAAGATATTCTCAAAAGAGTGGCAAATGCATGAGTCACCATAGAAAGCGCGCCATACTGTTTTTTCTTCTTAAACCAAAAGGTTGCATTCTAAAAAAAAACGCTTAATGTGAAAAACGATTAGCGTGGCTTAACGCACGAGTAAGCAAGTAAAGGGGTTAATGAACAGAGAGTTCTGGGTATATGTGACGGTGTAGCTTTTGTGCTAACAAAGATACACGGAGGCAGGATGCACCTGTAAACTCAACAGTCGCATTTATTTTTATCTGCTTCAGAACAGAGCATCAACAACAACTCTCCTTCTTGAAGGGGAACATACCCAATAACTATGTATGCATGTGTAGGCTATGCCGGTGGTGTGTGAATTGTGTCTATTACTCAGTAATGTGTGAGATGCTTGTATCTACCCCTACAATGGTAAGTTAACCCTGATTTCTGGAATACAAAGACGGGTTATATTCGCGATGTGGATGAATCTTGTTTGTGCCGTAGACTTGGTGGTATCCACCTTTTTCTACTCACCCTTCAACCATCAAACATTAGAAGGAAATTAAAAAGTGTCATTCTTACACCATGCTGCCCTTTTCATCTCACACCCGTGTGGTTAGATCAGAACAAGTGACTGCATCCAGATTGTAAAAAAAGATTGAAAACGCAGAAAGTTATCTGGCAAGAAGAATATCTTCCCAGCTTGAAACAGAAAATCCAAAAAATCAAAAATCCATTTAAAGGGTGATGCATATGATGCGATTTCAATTTCTCCTTTCTCTTTGGAGTGTTACAAGCTCTTGGTGCATAAAGAAGATCTGTAAAGTCGCAAAGACGGAGTCCATCCCGGGGTCGTCACATGTGGTTGTTCATATCCGTCACACGCTTGAGGAATTCGGCCAATCACAACGCACTGGATAGCTGGCCAATCAGAGCACACCTCGCTTTTTCAGACCGATGAGCTTTGTAAAAATCGACGCGTTTCAGAAAGGCGGGGCATAGAGGAGAAACAA